TGGCTCACACCAAGAGGTTTAACTGCCAACCAGTACCAGGATCCTACCTTAGACAAAAAAAAAAGTTGCATTTTCATAATATAAAGGTTGCCATAAATCTGAAGTCTACTTGATGGTTGCGGTATTCTTGATGCTGCATTCACTGACAATGAGAAACAAGGAATCCTCAGATGTTAGATAAGAAAAATGTGGCCAGATTTCCCAGATTATCTCTAATGAGGAATGAACAAGTCTGAAATAGTGTTAAATTTGCATTGGAAGTCATTAGAGGGCAATAAACAGCATGTGATGGAAAATCTTTTCTGATTGCGTTAAATTGATTTGACGTACGGTACTACAAAACCTTTTAATTTTCTTTTATAAACACCTAGTGTTAGATATAAAGCTAGAATCATGATTATGATCATTTGGACAGAAGAGATCAGAATTATGAATATTTATTTCTCACAAGCAAAGTAAATTGGATGCCCGCAAGGTAGAGATTTTCCTCCTTTTTAAACCCTTGAATGGAAATCTTTTCTGAGCGACTATAGCCCTCATCAGGGCCTAATAGCTCCTCTGATAAATGAACATATCTCTCGGTTTTGGCAATAACCCGCCCAGGGGGCTTATTCTTGGGCCAATCAGCTGTCATGAATTCACTGCCCTGTTTCATTTTAATTAAACGCAGACTGTGTGCACATGAATTATCCAGTGATTTACTTCTCTTCCCGCAGTCTCTAATTTTCAGGAGGTCCCTCTTGATGTCTGGACTACAGCAGCTTTCATCTTTTTTTTTTTTACTGTCCTTGCTCAACAGGTATGACGCTTTAGAGTAAAAAAAAAAAAGAGAGAAAAAAGAGGTGGTATTTTTTCCTGTCATCCAGTTTTGGAACAATGCACACTAATTTGCATTTTGTAGGGGTAGTGTAAAAAAAAAATCATGTTTAAAAGCATCTTTAGACACTTTTGTCTTTGCACAAAACTGAAGTTTATGGCTTACTAGTGAACGCATCCTCCATGTTTGCCTGTCTATTGCATTCCCCAATGATAAGTACACACTGACCACCCTGTTTTTAGATGGCTGACATGTTCATGCACCGAGACTTTAAAAGCACACAGTGTTATTGTTATTTCACTCCCTTTTAGTTTGTTTTTTTGGTTCTTTATTCATTCTTTTAAGTTGGCCCTGGTCTGACAAACAAGCTGCATTGGGATTTATGCTAAAGCAGTCAGGTTGGAACACACAGAGTCAGGTTTGGTGTTTTGAATAGTTAACATTATTCTGTGGATCATATTCAACGCGTTGTATGTATCCTTGGGCAGACATTTTCCCATTAAATGCGAAGGCCCTCTGGGATCGGGACAACATGAAAGAGAATAATCAGCAAAGTCGAGCAGTTGTTTTCAACTGATTAGCAGCTCTCGTACCAAATCAATTCAATCATTTACGTCAAGCCTTTGCCGTTTTTGGCTGTGCGTTTCACAAAGTGGCAGCTGCTAATGCAGGAACTGAAATCATGTTGAGAGGTGAGAGTGGCAGAAACTCGCAGGTTGCTTTTGCTTTGAATTTAAAACCAGCACATGCGGTCTGAGGACAAAATATTCAGCACTCTGGAACTTTGAAGAATTATTTAGAGTTTTAGCTTGCATCATAAAGTCTTAATACATCATCCTTTGACCCCATGAATATCAGGTATTTCACGTTTATAATAAAGGAACTGGAGAAGTATTTTGATTTGATTATCATTCAAATGACACATTCATGCTGTCAATCAGAATTGCTGAGCTGTATAGACTGTAAATGGTTCATTTTTAAAAGTAATCGTAAAAGAGGGTTTATTTAACATTTTTTGGTGTTGAAATTAACATCAACATTTAACTATAATAACTATCTAAAGTAGATTAAAAACAATGATAATGTAAGCTGCCATTAGGACCATTGGAGACTGTAAAAAATGTTTTTTTAAGGTTTCTATAAGTGGAAAAAAAAGTCATTTCTGTTCATTTTCCAAATGTATAACAATAATATCTTTAGTTTTAAACAGTTTTTGGAAAGATTTTCTCAAATATAAACAAATGAATGTTTCTTTGGAGGACTGATACTTGGTATTTTGTCATAAATTGTTACTTGGAACTCGGCTTTAATTCCCAATCCTGCGTGTGAACGCATTTTCTGTCATATCGGTTTCCAAGAAATGTATCTGGTAAAAGCAGCATGGTTAGGTTTGGCATCCCTGTTTCCAAGCAACAAGGCCATGCTACCGGCCCGTGCACCTGACTGTTAACTGGCTCGTTTTGTTCACACAGTGGTCCACGCCACTTACTGAAAATGATAATCATTTAGAAATAAAGAAAGTGTGGAAAAAAAGGTTAGCTGACAGAGTTTAGATTTGAAGCAGAAATGGCCCAAATATCAACTGTGATACAATATTTCAGATTCAAAGCAATGAGTCCCGAGGCCATCAGTGATTTATTTAGTATCAGACTTATGATTGGACTGCAAAAACTAATTCCCCTGGTCTCAAGTTTTTTCTGACAATGAAACTGTGGCTGTGACATGGCTGTATACTGACACTACTGAAGGTAAAGGACAAATAAACAAACAAAATTACTGTTTTTGGATAGATTTTTGAGGATGAAATCGGGGACACAGCTCTAAAAATGACATGTTTTTATAAATGCGTGCAGAAGTGTGCTTCTCCGTACCACATAACAGCCTCCCATAGAGCAAATGGAAAGTGAGGTTGTATAAGGATTTTTATTTAACCGGCAAAAGGACTCAAAACAAGGACGGCAACAGCTCAGAACAGCAGTAGGTACATACACAGTATACTCAGAAAAAGGGAACAAATGAAGTCAACACGAGTGCATATCAAGCCAAACAAGCACAAAACCGCCCAACCGTCTAAAGAAAAGCAAGTGCCTGGAGAAAAAAATACCAATCTGTGTGTTGGTTGTAATTTTCGACAAGAGAAAATAAGCATGGCCCCCTCCAAAGGCCATTCCAAGACATCAAAGTTACGCCACGTAATTTGGAAAAGACTTTAAAGACTATCATTCCTTCGGGGGTTTAGAGCAAAAATGTAAACATGCTGAAAGATACAGGCTCAGGGCATCGAGCAGATTTCAACGCACGAGTATTTGCATCTTTACGAGCTACTTCAGAACCAACAAACGTGCCCCGGTATCGTCATCGTATGTACAAGCACATGCAACACGTGTTTAAAGATAAAGCGATTGGAATGCAAATGTATGCAAATTTACAGGGAAAAAGAGGTTTGTATGTTGGGGAAACTCATGAAACACGTTGAAGACCGATATTAAATAACACAATCAACTGCAAAATACATATTAATATATATACACGCGCACACACACACACACACTTACATACAAATATATATATATGAATAAATGTATAAATGTTATAATTTAAATTGATGCAGATGGATGTCTCCCAACAGGTTCTAAAGTCTTATCATCCAATTTAAGGGAGAGTATTCACTGGTATATTGACAGAGCATGGAATCAAATAGAATACATACAAACTCCCCTAAAATACACCCCAAAAATCCTTTAAAAGATATATACATGATGCTCATATTTCTGTCATATGAGGAGAAAATTGCAGGGGTTTCAGAGTCTTTTTGTTTAAAAAAAAAAAAAATCAGGTTCAGTTTCTGGTATGTTTAATGTACCTCAAGTCTAAAGCCCTTTTGAAGACCTGTGTGAGTATTAACAGAAGCTCCTACTTAATTAGAAATCTAGTTCTGCTCCAACTTTGCTCATTGGCAAATCACTCAGTTGTATGGGCTTTACGGTGACCTGCTGCCCCCACAAACGTGCAATGAAGGCCATATTTTCACTTTGGCTGCAGTGCACAACCCATGCATAACCTGCACAAAGTCTGCAAATCCAACAGAGTCTTACACATGTTCAGCCAATAGTCAGGCTGAAAGAGGGCACATGACGATGAATATCAACTTCAAACTACGCAGTTTGAAAATATATTATATGGATGAAGACGTATAACATTTTCACATATTCTTTTAAGCACAATTCAAGCAGAAAATACTTTTTTTTTTAAAACAACAGACTTTAATTACACAATGACATCATCACATCACATGGAACTTCTCTCTGCTCACTCTAGAGAACAGCCTGTTTTGATGTACAAGTCCATTTCCGATGTGGACGATTATGCTCAGATTCTGGGGGAACTTGGGATCTTGAGGGTTCAGCACAGTATTCTGTCTTCTCTTAGAACTGTGCTCTCCTGGACACAGATCACTGATGTTACTGTTATCTGCTGGAGCTGCTTCCTCGATTGGAGAGCTCCAACCACCACTGGGACCAATGCTTTTTCAATTCCAACATTTCTTCTTTTAAACTTTCCCCTATAGGCCTTGTTGCTGTTGCTCATAAAAACAATCCTTCACCTTTACGTGGATGTTCAGGCAGAAAATGGCTTTTGAACGATCATGTGGATGGTCCTTTTCCTCTTTCTCCCACGGGAACAAGTCCATGACTTAAAAAATATCTCCATTTGAAACGTGGGCTCGTCAAACCGAAGCTCATTTTTCCTGTTTTTCCTGTTCCATCAGACGAGCTCAGGTCCAGAGAAGTCAGCAGTCTTTCCGAGAATTGTTGATTTGTGGCTTTTGGTGGATGAACTGTGTTAACCGACGACGATTCTCCGAACTTTTCCCGAGCCCACACGGTAACATCTTTGACAGAATTGTATCAGTTTTTTTGCAGAGCTGCCTGTCAGAACTAGAAGTCTTAGGGTGTTCGATCTTGGTCATCAGCCTTGCCACTTATGTGGAGATTATTGCCTGTACGTTATAAAATCCCTGTATTTCGTCAATTGTATTGATTTTACATCCTGATCATGACGGTCACTTGTCTTCCAATCAACCTATTCCCCCGTGGCTTGACCCATCCATCTGTCCAATACAACAGAAAGGTTTTTATAAGGTTAAAAAAAAACAAAAAAAACATAACTGACCAGCAAGTCCTCAGGACTTTGGCCTGCTGTCCGGCAGGCCTTTGAGGCTGATGTGCAGGGAGCTGACCACAGTGGCCTCCTCCTGCGTGGACTCCGTCGTCCGGTCGGCCGTGCACACGAGGCCGGCCAGCCTGCCGGGCAGGTTCCTGCTGAACATCAGGTAGATGCAGGGGTTCACGCAGCTGTTCAGGCTGGCCAGCAGCATCAGGAGGGTGAACGTCGCGCCTGGAAAAGAGGAAAGGGGAGAAGTCTGACAATAGATGGCAGTGGGCATGGTCCACTTTGGCCCATTTTAGGGTCATTTGTGTTTGTGTTTGAAAAGCAACGAGCTCTTTATGTTTCTGTGTGGATTTTTATAAAGAGGGCCCATTTTTTTCTGATTATTACTCATTACTAAGGGCATGAACCAACTATTTTGAATAAAAATGAGCCCATTCATTCCTCTTGAAAATCTTCCACAAGAAATGTTTGTCAATTTTCATTTTAGTCTTTGCCTAGTGAGTGAGTTAGTCAATTACCAGCTGTCGGTGCTGAACTGAGGAGATTGGGAACGGAGATTGTCTTACTTTCAAAGGGCGCCTTCGCGTCCCAGACTGACCAGAGCTGGACGGTGAAGAAGGGCGCCCAGCAGAGGATGTAGGCGAGCACGATGACCACGGTCATCTTCACCGTCTTCACCCTGGCCTTGGACACCCCGGCCACGCTGCCGGTCCGGGAGGAGAGCTGCAGTCCGGCGGTCCGGTGCGTCTTTGCGCGGAAGTCGGTGCGCACCGCGCGGCAAATGCGCACCTGGCACGCCACGACGGTCAGCACGGGCAGGACGAAAATCACCGCGGCTGTCCACGTCACGTACGCCCTCGGTCCCCACGGCGTCACGAACCGGGCCCAGCAGTCGTACACGCCCGGGGCCACCTCCACCCGGGAGAAGATGAAGACCTGCGGGAGGCCGCCGATCAGGGACACGCACCAGGCGGCGCACACCGGCCCGTTCCAGCGCGCCCTCCTCCTCTGGAACGTGACCATGGGCTTGCAGATGGCTTGATACCGATCGACGGTCATCGCCACGATCATGTAGGTGGACGCGAACATGCCCACCACCTGCAGGTACTTCACGGCGCGGCACAGCGCGTCCGGACCGACGAAGCGGTCGGTGATGTCCCACACGAGCTGGGGGCAGACTTGGAAGAAGGTGACCACCAGGTCGGCGACGCACAGGTGGAAGACGAAGACGCGCATCCTGGACAGCTGCTTCCTGCGCGTCCACAGCGCGGACAGGAGCCCGAAGTTCAGCGAGCCCGCCGCGACGAAGATGACGGACAGGAGCGCTATCTCCGCCCGCGCCAGCCGCTCGTTTCGGGGCTGGTCGCCGGACAGGGACCTGTCCAGGGAGATGTTGCTGCTGTTCACGTCGAACCAAGCCATGTCGCCCCCTCAAACACGGCGCGGGTAGACTGAGAGAAGCTCCACAACCGCCTCAAGCGCGCCAGGGCGGGCATCGGACAGGTGAAAATCAGCCTCAACTTCAAATATTACAAATCTGTTTGTAAGGATTTTTAAAAATGTAATGGGCAGAGACTGTTGAGCTTCTCCAAACTCAAACTGCTGTTACTTGAGGGGGGGCAGAGGGCTTTATATACCCCTCTGATGGGAGGAGCAACCAGCTCACAACTCGTTTAGAACTAGGAGCTTAAGACATGATGACCGTGAACGCATCTCCGAATATCACAAAGCACAAAGTCACGTGATTCCTTGAAATAAAGTTATATTTCACAACACTTAAACGTGCTTTCTGGCAATAATTAGACACGTAAACAATTTATCTGACAAAAAAAAGGGAAGCTTTTGCTTTTCCCACCAACAGAAAATAACTCGGTCAAATTTTTTTCCATCTTCTCTCTGATGACAAAACAAAAGGACAGATTGTTGTCCCACATCTTAACGGCATTAAACGCCAACATCCACAAAATGTTGAAATCTGTTGTTTTTTTTAAATGCTGGAAACATCATACTGACACAAGCAAAGGAAAAAAGTGACCCACATTTGTAGTGTCTTTTTTTTGTTTTGTCCTTCCATTATGTGTCTGTTATAGTCTAACACGTATGGACCACTCCGTCTCATTTCAGTCTACTTTCTCTAAATTCGCCCAACTTAAAATGCAGCTACAGGTGGGAGCTTCTGGCTGAGCTCAGCTTAAGGCTTCACGTGACTGAGGAGTTCGTCTTTGTCCATTTGGTAGCGGCTCTTCTTCCAGACGTCGCGGAGCTTCTGAAGCGTGGCTCCGATCTCCTTCCCCGAGGTGACGCCCACCTTCCTTAAGTCGTGGCCGCTGATGGGGAAGCGAGGCATGGACCACTGGAGGAGCTCCGACAGCAGTTTCCTCTCCCCCTGGTACTTCAGCAGCTCACAGAGTTTACTCTGAGAGTCCAGCTCCCGGCTCTGAGAGGGCACAGAGGACAAAGCTCAGTCCACCAGCTAGACGAAATATAGAAATTTATCAATGATTTGGAAAATAAAAAGAATGAATGAAAATTCTGGTTCTTGAAAGTACAGTGGGGGAAATAAGTATTTGACCCCTTGCTGATTTTGCAGGTTTGCCCACTTACAAAGAATGCTTATTTTCCCTCATCAGATGGTTATCAATTTTTATAAATTCTTATGAAGTGATTTTCTGGAATTCTTTTCGGGATTCTGTCTTTCACTGTTAGAATGTACATATGATTAAAGTTATAGATCGTTGCATTCTTTGTAAGTGGGCAAACCGGCAAAATCAGCAAGGGGTCAAATACTTATTTCCCCCACTGTACATCACTCTTCAGGTGACCATGAAATGACAATAAAATCAAGATCTATCATCCTGACAGTGAAATCTGTGATATCTATTTCTTCTAAAATTCATCATTTTATTGGTAAGGCTCGGTTCCATTTAGGTCTAAAATAAGCTACTCTGATATCAGAGGTGTTAAATGGCTGAGTTGTTCAAGAAAATAAATGACAGCCCTCTTCTGGCAGGGTCTTCATTGTGAATTACTGCCGACTTTCTTGTCGACAAGATAATATTTCCCCCCGCAGACTATCTGTTAGAGACGGACGCTTACGTCGATGATGAAGTCTGTGAATGGTCGGATGCTCTCCGGCTCCTCCTCGCTCCGGCACAGCTCCCGCCGGTGTTTGACCAGGAACAGGGCCAGGCTCTTCTCCTCTCGGGACACCTTCAGCCGGACGTCCATCTTCTCCACTTCCTCTGAGCAGCGGAAGAGGGCGGCCAGGATGGTCATGGGCTTGGGGGAGTGGTCTTTGGCGTGGTGCCACACCCGCTTCATCTCCTCTACGTTCCCGTCCGGGGGCAGACCTGAAACGCAGCAGGGGTGGGTTAGGGTTAGGGTCAATTGAGCACGTGCGGTGAACCCTCGCTCTCACCTATATACTGCGCCAGGTCCAGTTGGTAGATCAGCTCCAGCAGGTGGCCGGCGTGGTTGTCCAGCACCATCTTCTTGAGCTCCACCCAGATCCTCTCCCCGGAGATGGCGGCCAGCCCTCGGCCGTTGGCGCGGATGGCGGCCAGCGTCTCGGGCTCGTGCTGGTCGGGCCCGGGGGCCACCCTGCCGTAGAACCTGGGGCCGGGGCCGAGCCGTTGACTGCGCGGTAGTGCGAGCCGGACGCTTTCGGCGCGTCCACAAACCTGAAGTAGCGCAGAATCCTCAGGTAGTCCTCCCGGATCCTCTGATCCGCGCTGCCCACGAAGCGCACCTGGCGGTTCTGCAGGTCCTCGTAGCCTTTGAAGTAGTCGTAGAGGGTGCCGTCCAGCCCTGTGAGGGTTAAAAGATATTTCTCCCATCGAACGAAATTGAAATTGTATTTCACATTCTAAAAATTCATGCTGTCTGGTGCCTTGCGTTTTCAAATGATTATTAGAAATAAGGTAGCCGTCATGTATCAAGAAGTAATGACAACATGACTCATCCAGTTTTCTCTCGAGGGGGATGAGGTTTGTAATTTAAAAGAAATGACAAACTGCATTGAATTATTAGTGTGAGCATGTCATTATTCAGCAAAAAAGATAACAAATTACGTTGCTTTGTTTTTTTAGGCATGTGACTCTGGCTCTGAACGAAAACGCCTTGTGGATTAGCTAGGCAGGTAGACTAGTGCTTTATGTCCCTCTCTGCAATTATAGTTCAAAATGGCGGAACGACATGGAAACCTTCGTGGGCTTACGCGTCCTGTGTATATGCAGAGAGTCAGATCATTGCAGAGGTCATTTTACACCAAATGAGGACACATTTATAAATGAATAAAATTATTTTAGCTAATAAAATACTTAAAATACTACACAATGTCCCGGTTCCCATTCAGGCCGAGTGCAATTGGAAGAGCTCACCTAAAAACATGGAGTTGATGGTGAGGTCTCGCCGCTCGGCGTCTTTCTGCCAGTCGGTGGTGAACTCCACCTCTGCGTGCCGTCCATCAGTCTGAACGTCCACTCGCAGCGTGGTGACCTCGAAGTTCTCATTGTGGAGCTGTGAGCAAACAAAAAGCAAAAAGGAACAGCTCAGGCTCGGTGGGAGCAGCTTCCTGTTACAGTGAGCCGTCAATCAAGCCAAGAAACCTTTGCAAACCCCAGAAGAATCATCCTCCAACTTTTAATCCATACAGGGACAACTTCATTTTGAACACCAGTTTCATTTTAACTTCGCAACTAAGATATAAATTCGCTCCAAAACGTTACATTGATCCCCACAGTGACCCAGAATCACCTTTAGATTTACAGGTGGCTTCCTTTTGGAGATGTAAGTTTGGAAAAAAACAAGTTCCTCTCAGAATGTTGAGGGGAAAAAGTAATCATTTATCAGCTGGAAGATTAAACCAGTCGTCAAAGGCGGCAAAGAATAAAACACTGCAGCTATACCGGCAATGATCCAACTACTGGTGACCCTGAGATTTTAATCCCCCGAAGCTTCCGCTCATTTCTCAGTGTGTACAATCTTAGCTCCTCAGTTTGTGCCAAGCCTCTGAGGCCAGAAGAGATATGAGGAGAGAGACGCCATCGCAGGAGCCATTTAACAAAATGGAGCCACTGTGCTGTCATTTTAAAAAGGATTTCAGGGGGAAATGACACGGGGAGCGGCTGCCTCCCCTTTCTGCTCTTTCCTTAAACCTTAATGTAGCCTTTGATTGACTCCTGTGCGGAGGACACTCACATCAACCCGCGCTCAGACCTCTCTTTAAAATGCATTTCAGAAAATCGAGGCATCTCTCAAGCTGACGGGGACAGATCAATTTGTCAGCCACTCAAAGGCTGGCAGAAGGAGAGGAAGACAGGATGGAAAAAGCCTCAGACAAGTTTAGAATATTCTCACTGAGGCCAACGTCGATGGTCGTAAACAGCTTCTCTCATTCTTCGTAACCAACCAGGAAGTGAATCCATTAGAAAAAGCAGAAAGGCGCTGACATTTTAACATTCATTTGTTTTGAAGCCGTTTCTACAAACTAAACAGGGACTGGATTGATGTTGGTAAACCCTGTCCAAAAGTCTTAAAAATCATAGAACTCTTGCAGTGATTTGATTAATGATTATGCAGATTTCCCATATTATGGAACAAACGTCTGTGGTCCGGTACCAATCCCAGTATTTGTCACATGGACGATAAAACGGTGTGCTGCTCTCTCCTTAAATGAGCATGGCCACATCGATGTACATCCACAGATCATAATATCTGTGTAACACCTATTGTTCTTAAGGTGCTCAGCACACAAAAAAGATGTCTTTTTTTTTTTTTTTTAAACATAAAAGCCCTCGTATTAAAAGAAGCACGCTGTTCAGAACTAATAGGACAAACATTCACAAAGTCTACAAATAATACTTTGTAGAGCAAATCAAATCTCGGCTCCTTTTTCCTTCCATATTTTCTATATTTCGTTTGATTAACTCATTGACTGCCAGCCATTTTCAGAACAGAGAGTCGCTCACTGCCAGAGTTTTTTGAGAATTTTGACTGATTTTTCAAGAGCCACAGAATAGTTTGTGCTATGACTATGTAAACACCGAACACACCAAAAGAAAGAGTAGACTCTCTTCTTTCATCAGGAAAAAAGATTTTGTTTCTACCTCATTCCGTTCTTCTTCGACATGCGTCTCACCGGCGCCATTTCTCTCATAGCGAACTATTGCGTTTGTTTTTATTTGCTTACAATCTATGCTAATCTCCCATCAAAAGTGGCACAGCTACCTAGAGGGTAAATTTGTTAGTCCATACTCTGTCTAGAAGCCGATATTTACGGGAAAACTTTCGCCGATCGTCCCCCAAGCCACTCGCATTGAAAAACATAAAAGACGTCTATAGACGTCTTTGGCAGTCAGCGGTTGGATTTGAAAAGACGTCTATAGACGTCTTTGGCAGCGAATGAGTTAAACTAGGCCTCGACTACACTTGTTTTGATGCTTTAAAGACTGAAATGGTGAAATATCACACCAGGCCAGTAGGTGGTAGCAGCTTCCATATAAACACCAAGTAATACAAGAGAAAAACATTCTGACCATGACTAAAGGGCCCATTTTCCTTTAGTAAAAAACTAAACGAAACTCAGCTAAAACTAGCTTGAAGGGACACCTAGAAACAAACCTCATCAATTTAAGACAGACAATAAAGAGGAGTTACAGTACAAGCTGATGGAGTCCTGGTTTAAAAGACTGGCTTATGGACACTGCTGTTTGGTTTAGCAGCACAGGGCTATCCTGCAAAGGTCAAGTGAGCATGTGCAAAACAGTGATCTGTCAAAACACCTACAGCGGCTTTTCAGAAACTAACCATGCTCTCAGTGGACCGCTCAGCCTCTTACCCGCGCCGTTATGGTCCCGTGCTTCTCTCCTTTGTTGTTGATCATCCTGATCCCGGCCGTCTGGAACATGCTCTTCATCTGCTCTGGGGTGGCTGTGGTGGCGAAGTCCACGTCTTCAGGACGCTTCCCAGAGAGCAGGTCCCGCACGGCACCCCCGGCTATCCGCAGCTCGTGCTGGTTTTTCTCAAACAACTCTGGAATGCCACAAGAAAACAATTAAACATTTTGAAAGGCGGTTGGTTGTCGTATCCTGACTTCTTTGCTTTTACCAGTTAGCATCCAGACCCATCATTAAACAGAGGACACTTAAAAAAAAAAATCCTTTGGTGTCAGTCAGAGCATTTTTCTTTCAAACAGCAAGTTGACAACAGGAGTTAGTATGTGATATTCTAATGGACGGCCTTTTCTCTCGATTCAGATCTCTCCAAGGCTTTGTCCTCTCTTGTTTCTCTCATGTAATTGTGATTTCGATGCTTCACAATCAAATTAGGAAATGGGTCTCTCAGCAGGTTCCTCCTCCTTTGCCTTTCCTCGGAGTCAAATTTAAAATGGTGGCACTGAGAACATTAATGTAGCCAAAATAAAAGGACACACACTAATCTCTGGGGCATATTTATCTCCCCTGTTGTGATGTTTTGGTTTGACAATGTTAAAGAGAAATCTGCATTTGTGCAGTGTTTACTGTGTTCTGTTGTGTATCACTACTAGCTGAACGTGTATTGTTTATCAATACAACCGAAGTCCCAATGAAGCCCCTCTCAATCCTATAGTTGACACACAGAAAAATGTAGTAGCAGCTAAATTTCATGACTGTTTAATATAAAGTGGATATATTTTATAATGTTTAAACTGGAGGGTCAATGTCCGAGAGTGACAGCTTTTGTGGTTGAATGACACGATGACAACTCTCTAATCAGATTCCGAGAAATGACTACTAACCCAACGTGTGCTCCCTTATATTTAGTGAGACATTAGCTTGGTTTTCATGTGCCTCCATCTCACCTGCGAGTCCATTCAACCCATCGGTAAACAGAGATTGGAACTGCTCCGTCTTTAGCCGCATGGTGAACAAATTTCTCCAAGTAACTGTTCTGCTAATCCCACGATGATTTAATAATCTTCTCCACATCTGCACACACAGGAAAATAGCGGTCGGGTAACGTTTGGGTGTACACACCAATGAGGACCTAGCTAGCTAAAGTCACTGAAGTCATGCTTTAGTTTTACGAGCACCTGCCAAACTGTTTGTTTGTACTACGCCAACGTATTTGTAACAATGACAATAACAATAAACTTACCTGTAACACTAAAGGGTGTTTTTATACCCATACGCGATACTTATCTTTCCAAAATATTGTTCTGTCATCTCTGTTCCTCTCCCATGTTACAGGAAGAAAACGTGCGTAAACTAATCAATAACGCGAGATTTCGTCAGACTCAAAGTGCGAGATTTGGAGCCTGAGGTGCCGTGCTCTCGCGAGATTAGTGTGTTGACGCTTCAGGTCTCTTTTGAGTTTTCGATGAGCTATCAAACGAGTTGACAGGACTCGGCGCAAATGGCTAAAGTTGAGCTGACGCCGCTCAGATCGTGGGATGACTTCTATCCTGGCCAGGAGAGGTTTGCGAGACCAGACGTGAGAGATTTGGCGAGATGGAACAACAGAGTTGTCAGCAATCTTCTTTATTACCAGACGAATTATCTGGTGTTGGCCATCGCTATCTTCCTGGTTGTCGGGTAAAGAATGCCCTAGTTGTTTTGTGTGTGGCACAACACACATTTAGTCAATAGTCTGTTTTCTTTTTTGTGTTTGTTTTTATTTGTTTCCGTTGCCAAGTTTGCGACAAGTAGGATTTAACCCACATTTAGCAGATTACAAGGCCACACAGAGAGATCAGGCTGCTCAGAAGGAGCTGAAGTAGTCCCCATGATAAATGTACACCTTGTGTGTTTTTACTTTGTTTTTACCTTTACCTTTACCTTGTTGTCACTTTAAAATGAGTTTTTTTTCAATGCTACTTTAATTGAACTAATTCAAGAGTGATAATGTACTGCCAACTTGCAAATACAACAACAGAGTGAATGTGTGTTGCTTCCAACTGGACAGAGAAAAGGAGTGGACGGACATCCACACACAGCCCTGAGGGACTTCTTGATGGACCGGTCCGTAATCCGATAACGCCATACAAGGAACACTATCGCAACAGAGATTAAATACCTCCCACCAGAGACGTTTGGGTTTTAGTCGGCGCTTTGTTCCAGTCAAAGATCAGAATTCTAAAAATAGATAAGTCCGGTCGAGGGTCAGTTCTGCTGACCCCTGTGATGACATGTTGGTGCTATGGTCATCCAGGCCCTGGTGAGCCTTTTTGTTGAGTCATCTTTTGCAGATGGAACACTGGTGATAAAACAGCTGCTTCTCATTCCATCATCGGAAAATGTTCCAGTGACTCCTTCCTGATTCATAACTCCGAAACCTATTGACTTATTTTCTTTTCTGGTTTAGTGAACTCAGTGACTGATCAGCTCCAGCTGAATCAGAGTGCCTAAATGGTGTTTTTATGGTCTTGGAGGAAGATTTTCCCGTGGGATATGTCGTCCTACAATCTCTAACTCAAACAGGAATAACGTTGTGTTGCTTGACGTAGGAGCTTTTCTTTTTTTGTTATTATTCTTTCAATTTTTCAGACAGTTTCGGAACTCCCCTTTGCCGGTCAGAGAAAGTTTTTTTTGTTTTTTAAATCCAAAAATGACTATTCCAAAGTCATCATACAGAATATGTCCATCGGAGCAATGTTACATAGATTTGCAGTAGGAAAAAAAAAGATAATCATTTCAAAAAGGCGATTGGGTTTCTAGTGGGAGGGGAAAAGACAAGGGAACATATTTCAAATCAATGTGGTCATACCAAGGTTCAAACGCAGAGCTCCTCTGTCCAGCCGGACAGAATGACCACAGAGGCTTTTTTTTTGTCTGAATGTCAGGGCTTCTTAGATGGATGACCGTGGCTCCAGGTGACCACTAGGTGGAGACAGTGACGGCATGGGGCCGTGAAGTGATCCGGGTCCGATCTGTTCCAGGTTCCTGAACCCCCTGGGGATGCTGACCGCCATGGTCGTGGTGTCGGCTGTCTTCCTGGGCTCGGTGTGGGCCGGGGAGAACCGGAGCGCCGTCAGCGCCTTTAAGAGGCAGAACCCCGCGGCCTTCGTGCTGGCCGTCATGGTGGTCAGCTACGTGCTGATCTCACTGATGGGGAGTGTCATGGTGTTCATGTCGGCCATCACCTTACCACTGGCCAGTAAGTTGACTTCAGTCCCCACTTAAAACAGATACACCCGTAAAGTATAATTTGGCATGGAAACAGACAGATTTCTATTAAATCTCCAGGAGATTTTGCTTTATTTGTATATTAATACAAGAGTTTGATGCATTACGAAGTCATTCAAAATCAATGAAACGTGCTTTTCAGAAAGCCTGTCTTTATTTATAGGTTTGTTTTTGCCAAATGCTTTTTAAGCCGCATGTGCTTTCCCATCTGTTTTTGTGTGTGTGTCGATGTGTGTGTGTGTTTTTTTTAGTGATACTTGCACACGCTTCCTTTCGCCTCCGGAACATGAAGAACAAACTGGAAAACAAGATCGAGGGTGCGGGGCTGAAGAGGTCACCGATGGGCATTCTGCTGGAGGCTCTGGGTCAGCAGGAGGAGAACCTGCAGAAGATCCAGAACCTGCTGGAAGCTAAGCTCAAGGACTGACGGGAGTTTTGGAGAGAGAACGCCCGGCTTTGTGGAGGATCTCGACCAACGATGGCTTCTTCTACAGCGTCAGGCCTCCAGTGAAAGATAGTCAACTGAATGCCTTTATCTCTGACCTCAAGGTTTCCGGCGTCGCTCCGCACAAAAACCCGTCGGGACAGTTTTCCAGTTTTCCAACAGCTCCTCTTCTTCACAAAAATCTGCCTTTAATCAGTGTGAGAAAGCTGTCAGTTTTGAATCTGAACGAAAACTCTCGACAAAAGCTAAAAAGCGCGTCACTGGATAGCTTCAGGGCGGCAAGCGGCGTCTTGTACGAGCATCGTAAAGGTTGTTTTTTTGTTTGTTTTTGTTGTTTTTTTTACATCGGATCACGTTTGAATTGAAACCAACCACTTGTGCAAATAAAGAGAAGCGCACGGAGGACTCAAGTCTGGTCACTTTGTCAATATTTAGAATGTAAACTTGCGAGGAAACGTCTCCCTATCGGGATTCCTTCTGAACCTCTGAGAGTTTTATCTTGACAGCACCCCCTGAGTGATTGATTGGCTTCTACCTGTGCCCCCCCCCCCCCCCTGCATTTACCTCCAATGCTAATGAGTGCCCTTGCTGTAGATTATAGAACGGCCTTGTGACTAGAGTTAGGGGCCTGTCACTGCGAGTTTCTGACCGTGTCAACGTTTTTCCTTGAAACTGACTGCAGATAACAGCAATCCATTTAGCCCCTTTGTGCCGTTATTTGTCTTGAAGTCAACCGGAGTGAGCATGATGCAGTTTGAGAAAGGAAGAGTCACCCGATGGCGTTCAAAGGGACCAAAAGGAGGCACAGTGGAGGCCCTTGTTCTGTGTTGTGCAGCTGCTACGTGGGCCCTGTCAGCACGTGTGCGCCGCTGCTCACTCAACAGTTGTGCGTCTTTGGTGTGTCCTCAGTGCTATAAGAAATGCTTCTCTTTATTTTTCCGCGCCGGTCAACGGGCTTTCGGAGATTCCGTTGTGCAAAGGAAAGTAAATCCTTTTAGGTTTGGAGTTTTTTTAAACATGGTTACATAAAGAATAGTTTGAAAAAAGACCGTTGGTGGAACTCTACAACTTAAGATCTGATTCAAACCAAAAGAATTGAAGTCCAGACCCCAAACTGACCGAAACGCTGAATAGGAGGACTGGTGAACTGTGGCTGCACTGTTGAGAAGAGTGGGCGATACATTGCTTTCGAACAGATGTGACGCATTAGAAAAATATTACCTTGTGTTATTGCCCCCAAAGATGATTCTAGAAGATATCAATTCAGTTTTTCCACTTAATCCCTTTCAATAAATAATTAAATGGTGTGCAGTGTTTTTTTTCCTCTGACTTTATGTATTTTAAATAATATCTCAATACATATCTATAGAACTTAAGGGAGACATTCTCTGTATTTGACCTAATTTTGCACTTCTAGACACACACTATGCAATCTGCCCTGAGCTCCACTTAGAGGTTTTGTGTAATTGCTGTCCAAGCTGGTTTTGCTATCCTCATAATTCAAGCAACTTGCCATTCAGCAGGTCCTGATTCTTAGACTGAAACCACAACTGACCATGTGTGTCACTGTAATAATGTACTGTTGGGACCTCTGCAGTCTGCTGTGGCCTAAAACAAAACAGTAAAAGACTTATGAACATGTGAAAGGGAAAGCTAAAACAAAGGGCTCGCCTTTCAGAGTTTGTCCGAGACATTCCGTCCTGGATTAAGATGACGACGCAACTTTGGCAATGTATCATTAATAGTCATCTTTACTTGAGCCTGGCGGGATGAGTCAAGAGGTTTAAGTGTGTCACCGGCTGCACGTGTCTAGTTTATTACCAGCAGAACCAGTTTTCTTCTTTTTTTTTCACCACTTTCATGAGTTCTTTATAACTAATCATGTTTAAACGTTCAGATTTAACAATAGATATCTAGATTTAAGGGGTGTCAAAATAACATCGTCACTGTCCTGTGGTCATCAGGTTAGCACAGATTAGCCCATGGACACAAATAGAGGATATGAATGAGAAATACTCATTCATGAATGAGAAATACTCATTCATATGAGTACTTCTGACAGTGCCATGAATGTGACTATGTTACACTATTCTGTTTAGGTCGACTGTCATCTCAGAGTAATATCAGCCAAAATGGCTGCAAAATGCTATCTCGAGTAGCGTCTTTTTGTTTGTTAGCTGCTGGGCCAGGCCGTTCTCACTGATACCTTTTGCTCTGTAATGAAACTGAAACAGACAATCCACTTTATTGGGCTACTAAAACTTAACTAAATTAGTGTCTGAATTTGGGGGAAATGCCTCTCTCCTCCCCCAGGGACATTAGCATGTGAAGCCTTTTTTCTACGTGGTGCTAATCCCTCCTCAAGAGGGGTAATTGAATGCACCTTCAAGACATTTGATAAGCACTTCTCAGGTTTCAGCTTTTTTGTGTGATGGATGTTTTTGTGGGGATCCTCCTCACGTTAAAAGAGCTCCCCAGAGCGCTTCGTAAGATGAAGGGAGGGAGCACATAGGAGCCTTTTGTTTTTTGCGGGCGGGCGTCAGCTGGAACGGCCTGCCCCTGATGTCTGGCTGCAGCTGGCGGGAGGCAGCAGAGACAGAGGGAGACAGCTGGATACAAAATACAAAACACCCGTCCCTCCCCCCCCACGGCTGGAAGCGTCTCAGACCTCCTCTGAGCACACGCACGCACCAAGCCCAACGCCAAAGGGGTAGAGTTAGCAAAAAATCTGCTCAGTGGACAGAAAACGCGTGCAGGCCGAGTAAGGAAGGAAGGAAGGAAGGAAGGAAAGAAGGGAGGGAAAGGAGGTGAAAGGCTTGTAGGACAATGTAACAGAGAGGGTGTACGGACAACTTGCATGAGTAAACTTCTCTAACACAAAAGCCCTCTGGGAGGGGTCGGGTGCTAAAAACACTAGGCTGTCATTAGCGGGGATGACAGGAGGTTCCAGCCTACAGAGGGTGTGTCAGGTTTGAGGGACTGGTTTGGTTGGTTTACAGTCTTTAAACAACACTGTAAGATAACAGCTGAGCAACAGCTTTGCAAATATAAAAATGACCTCATTCGCTCACGCCGAACACTCGTGATAGTACTCGTGTCAATAAAACTAAAATCTCCCTCCTGGAAATGCTCGACCAGGAAGTTTAAAGTTTGAAATTTTGATAAGAGCAATTTTAAGTAACCAAACTGAATTTGTACGTTCTTTTTCCTCATCGCGGTTGCACTCTATGAATCCCGCCAGGGTGGAAGAACGCCACTGAAACAAATGTCAAAGTTTCGTTTTGTTTTAATCCAAACAGATGCCATTATACAAAAGAAAATTACTAAGAACCAGCTTAACAATAATTGTTTACTATATATTACATGCCTTTCAAATACATTAAAAAAATGCTCTACAAAAAGTATAGAACCAGTGTATTTACAACGTCAACACTTACATACAGGGTCCTTCTCGAGTGAGAAATGAAGAGCACCAGCCCATGATTTCCAGCATGGATGAAATAACCATGTTTAAACCAAAACAAAACTGAGAGGGGGAAATTATACCGAAGACTCGGGGGTTAATACTCGGATGGCGCAACAAAGAAGCAGGTATTTGGCTCACTTAATTCGCAAGTACTGACAGATGGTTAGATTAAATACTTAAGTAAGTGAGAAACGACAGTAGGGGGAGCAGAGTGGGTGTGAAGCAACTGAGTCTGGTGACGGCGCAGTGTTCCGGAGGCAAAAACGAAAACAAAAACATGTTTCAAAAGCTCGATCCCTTCATGCTGATAAGGTCCTTCATGGTTACAGTGTTTGTGCACGACTGTCAGTGGCAGAACGGGAACACGTTCCTGTCGCTGAGAAATTGGCGGTGGGAGTTTTACGTTTCTGCAGCGGTTCCTTCATTCTTCTGAGCCCGCTCTACGCGGGAGCGGGTAAGTGCAGGCTAAGGCACGGCCGGAGTTTTTTCCCTTTGGCACAGCGGCGGGGCGGCTAAACGATGGTTCCCGGCTTGGAGTTCTCGTGCCAGTAAATCCGCTCGTCTGGCTCCGCGCTAGCGTGGACCTGGCCGCTGATGTGCGAGTCCATTCTGACATCTATGTAGGACCTGTCGCAAACACAAAAGGTTGGGACGCATTAGGTGGAAAGCTTAACCGAAGGGGGTCGGGGGTGGAGGGGTTAAAGGATTCTCCCCCATTAGACCACAGACATGACAGCCAGGCTTAACAGCTTGCAACTGCAACAATGCTCAAGGGTCACATTCTCCCTTTGCCACACAGGTATCCCCCACCACCGCAAAACACCCAGCTAAGAGGACGGAGGATTAGAAAAATATGCCTGAATAGATTGGGCTTCCTGTTAGTCCCTGCCGCATAAAGGAAAACAGACATCACCATCACCAGCCTGACGCTCTGGTCTCTCACCCTTTCTTGAGTGCTGTAACTGTGATTACTGTGGGGTAGGGAGTTAATTTCCTGTTCCTGGCCAGTGGCATAGGCAACAGCACCGAGCCTCTCTAAAGGCCCAGCAGGGCACGCCATCCTATCACGGCTTCTCCTCTGTAACCCTGGGGGGCATCTGTGCATGAGAGGGGGCAAAGGTCATGGGTGAATAGACGCACCTTGGCTGGGAGGGTTTTGCGTGTGCCGAGAGGACGGCAAAGTGCAGAGAAGACGAGACAACAGGAGAGTGGAGAAATGTGACCGCTGGACGAAAATATGCCACCTGACAGAGCAAACAGGTCAGGCATATTTGGAATGGGAAGCCATGCAGTTACCTTATCAAACGCCACAAGTCAAGCATCTCAAATATGCATTTTTCACTCCAAAACATCAACAGGCAAGAGCGTGGAGCCACACTGTTGACACACTGACAGAGGCAGCAAACGCACAGGCTCAGGCCGCTGCCGGTTACTTACTAGGAGCTACCTTTTGCAAAAGGCCCCTTACTGAGCCTGTGCCCGCCGGAGGACCGGGCCTGTGCGGGGCTGTAGGTCGCCTGCCGGACTGGGGAGTGGGAGGAGGAGGGCAGGGAGGAGGCGGGGGGGGGGCCGGAGGAGAAGGGACTAGCAGGGGGAATAGCACAGCGCCTTTGGCCGCCAGGGCTGTGCCAGGAGCTCTTTAAATGCTGGGGGGTGCCATATCTATAAGAAAGCAGGGGGCCGATGCACAATTAAGGAGAGCAGGAGCATTCCTAAGCTCTGTGGATAGACTAACTGCTGGCATCTTAGAGTTTATAATCCCAGTGCTCAGCCAGACTCTGCTATTAAACAGCCTTATGTTTGGGAATTAAGTTTCATCATTTAAGGGGGTGTTGAACTAAAGACAACACTGGTTACAAATAAATTCATAACATTGTTTTGTGTAAAAAAAAAAACATCTATATAATACTTGAGATTTTCTGTAACCATCCATTTTAGGCAATTAAGCACTGACACTTAACTCGGGGGGAAAAGAGGATAACAGAGAGGCTTATTGGATAAGGACAAAGGCCGTGGTTGGTTTTTTTCTCACCTGTTGTGGGTGGAGTGGGTGAAGGGGGCTGCAGTGTAGGCGTAGGCCTGTGGTTCCTGCAGGTCGTACTCCGACATGCCCCGACCGCTCATGTGAGAGGGCCAGTGGGCGGCGGAGGAGGCTGAGGATACTGGAGGAAAACGATACAAGTTACTAAGTGAGCCGACGCGTCAAACACGGATGTAGCAATAGCAGCCGCAGGAACCCGTGACAGGCGCTGCCGTCTAACCTGACGAGTAGGAAATGGTCCGGTTGCTGCTGTAGGCTGGGGAGGGCTGATAGCCCAGGCTCTGCTGGGAGCCTCGGTCGTAGTCGTAGTTGTACGCCGACACTTGTTTGTGTGCTTTGTTGCGCTGGTACCAGCCTTTCAGGTGTTCCACCACCAGCGCCTTCTCAATGTTCCTGCTGACCAGCTCGCCGCTGTGGGGGGGCGGACGGTTCCTGGGGGGCCGCAGCGTGGCGTACAGGTTGTGAGAGACCCCGTCCATCTGGTCTGAGCCGTAGTGACTGTACACGTCAGTGCTGTAGTACGCTGCTTGCGTGTGGTGGTAGGAAGGGTTGACGTTGTAGTGTCCCTCCATCTCGTTCTCGTACACGTAGGCCCCGTTGGAGTAAGGCTCTGGCTCCGCGTAGCCTGGGTAGCCTGTGATGCAGTAAGCCGTGGTGGTGGGTCGCGATCGGGGCTGGTAGGCGTGGCAGCGGGTGTCCGGCTGAGCCAGGTTGGGCATGCTGCCCGTGTTGGCGTACAGGTCCTTTCTGTGGGGTCCTGCGCGGGCCCTGCGTCTGTGGGTGCGGGGGCCCGGGACGCTGTACTCCACGCTGGACTGGCTGGTGTAGGAGGAGCCGTCGTCCAGCACCTCGGTGCTGTTGCTGCGGCGGGCCGGGGAGGCGGTCAGCGCCGGGGCGGCCGGCTTGCTCTCCGTAACGAACTGGGACTGGGACTCCAGGCTGCCGCTGCGCTGGCGGAAGTGCTGCGGCGCGTCCTCCGATCTGCAGAAGAAACCAAAGTTACGAACGGTATTTCGACTTTTGGAGGGGAGACTGTAGAGACTGACGGAAACAAACCTACCTGAGCTGTGTGCTGCTGTAGGCATTGCGGGTGAGCAGGGGAGTGGGGGGCATGCTGCGGGCGTCACGTGGCTGTCTGGAGGCCGGTTTAAACGGGCTGCCGTAGCTTGATAAGGCATCGCTGTGACTGTTGGGGAATGGTTCCTGGACTTGTCCGTAATTAAATCTGGAACACAGATGAAGGCGATGTTTTTGCGTGCCCTTTAGAACACGACTGCACCGTGCTCGCTCCAGCTCACAATTTGCATAAATTAGCGGGGCTGGGGGCACTGGCTGACTCCAGCACTTTAACACCTGAATGCCTGCCGCTGCATTGTGCACTCGACCTTCTATTAGGCCACATCAACTCAAGCCCGCTTTAAAAATATTTCTAATCGCTGAAGCTTTCCTGTTCCCCTCTTTCTTTCTTCTCCTTCGCAGGCAGCTACATGTTTTTTTCCCCGTCTATTTTTGAAGCCAGCGCATTTGGGCTGATAAGAGGGAGATTGTTGGAGAGCCGGGAGAAGGAGGGAGGAGGTGACTGGCAGGAATGTAACTGCGGATCTACTCCACAGGTCTGTACAAGCTCCACGCTTTGGGCTGTCACAGCAACAACAGTTATGGCAAGTCTATGCTGAATACCAGCTGTTGTCATAATCTGTGTTTTTCTGCACTCATAAACACCAAAATTGAAACATTCAGCTCCGATTTAGCTGATTTTACTAAGTTAGAATGACTTGAGTTAGCTGGCAAAACGTGCTCAACCTAAAACTTGACACTGGGCTGGACGGCATCAAGCGTAACTGCTTAAACAAAACCTCCTGATTAGCTGAGGTACCGTGACTGGCTCCTTACCTGCTGTCTGCGAGCTGGTCATTAGCGGAGGCCCGTCTGTCTTTGTTGTAATGAATGTCCAGGGTGTCTGCATGGTGTGGTCTTGGAGAGTACTGGACCGATCTGGATCGTTGCCTCTGGGAGACGAGCTCGTCATCTGGGAGACACAAAAGGAGCTGAGTAAACCGGTCACAGTCAGGTGGGGTAATCAAGGGGTTGGTGTCCACGCAAAACTTACCATCGTCCAGCGTGAGGCTGTCGGATAGAGAGCTGAGGTCTGAGGGGTGGGTATCATCTGATGAGAGAAAATGGCTGGTGTTTTAACTACAACCCCTCAAAAACAACAGCATGAGCAGTTCTCTACAAGCTACAATGTCCATGCAGAATTTCTGCAGATGATCTACCTGCTAAGATGAGTGAGGCTCTCTGAGTGGGCTTCCTTCCCTTCATGATCTTATAGGCATTTATCTCTTTCTCAATCTCCTCCAGTTTCCTCATAGCATCCTGGCAGTTGTTTCTCCTCTTCCTCTTCACAGTCTTGCAGAGGTCACCCTCGCTGGCGAGCTTCATGGCTGCCTCCACAATTTTCTGCTGCAAGGCAAACCTGCTTTCCAGATTCCTAAGATGTGGGTCCTGTAGGGAGACACACAACACCCACGCAGTTAGTGGGGGATTTCCGAGGAATACACGCCGAGACTGTTCACACAGTTCCTCTGAAGAAAGAACCAGACTTCAAACATCCCAAATGGATTGAATAGACACAACATGGATTTTATCTAAAGACGTTAAATGTCAGTTTGCTGGCACAATCATAGCCATGTTCCTATCTGTGCTTCCAGCTGAGTTAAAGAGAGAAACTTGCTGAAATGACACAAAGGAACAAAGCATTGTATAACTGGAGCCCCGAAACAAGCAGTAGACTCGTAATCCGTTTTTTAATCTCTGACCGGTTTAAGTGACCTCTTGGTAAACAAATGCAAGTGGTTTAACACGGCACATTACATAACAGAGACGCATCAGAAAAAAAAACCCCTTATCAGTACCGACCTCGTCATATGGGAACAGGTCGTCCAATTTGAAAGCCGTCCCGACGCGGCGCCGCACCTGGGGAGCCTTCTCGCCTGTGGCCAAGGGATACTCTTTGGGCAGTCTGCCCGTGAGCTCCTGCAAATGGAAACAATCACCAGTGGTCAGTTTGGATCCAAAGACGTGCAAACAAAGGGAAAATAAGGGGCTCTTACAGCTTCTCTCATGCAGATCTTTTTCAGTTCTTCGAGTTTCTGCGCCAGCGTGTCTTGAAGGTCCTTTTCCTTCTTTTTTAATTCTGCAATCTTCTCTTTCTTCTGCTCCTCGCTGCCTTCCGAGTCAGCAGAACCTGGAACAAGCCGACGTCTGATTAACTACAAATTATCGCCATAAATCTTCCGCCGTCAAACCGGCGTGGAGCGGCGGTCATTAGCTGATTAACTCTCTGATTACCAGCTGAGATGAGGCTTCCGTTGCTGGCCATTATAAGCGGATCTTTGCTGCCAACGCTGGAGATCTTAGTGATCCGCGGCACGCAGATCTCTGTGAGGTCCATGGCGATGTCTCCTGAGCTCCTGGTCGTGGTCATCTGCGACTGTGGGGAGGAGAACGGAAAGTTAAGAGGGGGAAAAAGGGAGAGGTGGAGGAGGGAGTGTGGGTATTTCATTTTAATGATGGCGCACAGTGAACGTGAAGCCGCTTCTGCCCTGCTCTCATCAATCAGTGTGGGTTTTATGAACACAGACGCACCGTCTGCCTCCGAGCGAGACCGGTGCTGAAAAACCTCATTTGACTGCTGCCACACACACGCTCATCCATCTCCACCATGAAAAGCGCGTCACGTGCTTCACAACTCTGCACTCTGAAGTGTCATTATCAGACCACTGGCACAGAGCTTTAGAACTATCCAACTGGAACAAGGATGTTAATGCTCTACTTTTTTCCTCAATGCTGGGAATAAAAACTAAAAAAGCTATCCATCTTACATTTAAAAAAAATGTAACAACGCAGTTTCATTTGCTACCCTTTAACCCTCTGACAAGGTAAAAACGGCCATGATGCTTGGTATTACACCTACACCTACTCAAAGACAAACAGTGACAAACAATTTCCCAACATACATACAACTTCCCACAGAACAGAAGTTGGGTATATCATTGTGTCATGACACACGAGTCATAAATCATTCAGGACATCACATGAAGATGAAATTGTGACATGACAGACTGGCTTTCTCTTCCCGTTTAAGCTTAAAATAAACACAGTTCTTTCTCGACAAGTGAGGAGAGGTCAATACTGCTTTCTTTTTTAATTAGTGAAAATGTCACCCAGACTTCCAAATATGGTCGCAGAATTTCCTGACAGCCTGTGAGTGTTTTATCAGCTCCTCCGGAGTTGCTCGGTGTGAAATACACACCCATACAAGGATATCAGGATATTGCAATGACTTCCCAGACTTTACTGAGAACTACCAAACTCAAAACCAAAACTCTTAACTTTAACCATAACCAGCTGGTACAAACATCCTTACATTTACCAGTTCAAACCAGAACTCTAAACACACACTGAATGACCCTGCTCACAGGGTGTCTCACCTACGCAGGTCATCGGACACCTTGAAGCCTCTCTAAGGCGTGTCAGACAGTGTGACATCCATCTAAGTTAAACAATAGGCGTGCTGGTGGAGAACGTGAGGAGAAGCAAAGTGAAAGAGGGGCCAACCACACAGACACTCACTTTACTTTGCCTTCTGTCCAGGTAGAACTGGTGCTGGCTAATGGCCATCGCCCAGATGGTTTTAATCAGAGAGTGGCTGGCATACCACGTGTGAATAACCAGGCCGCTCTGTCCAAATGTTCGCTTGGTCACTGTTCTGCTGTAGAAGATAAGACAGCAACCCAGAGGTTGTGTATTCAGTTAGCAAATCAAGGCAGATGTTGAATGGAAAAAGAGTGTCAAATCATTAATAATACAATTATGACTCAGTCCTGATTTAATGCAATATGTGGCCCTGTGTTTAACACAATAGGGATTAGCGGCCACTGGAAATAACCTGTCTGATTTAATAATGCCTTTACTTGATGGAAAAATCAGTGTGAGGGGCAGAGGTCCTATAACAGGCTTGAACAGCAGGAAGGCACTTATTTAACAGAGAGGTCTGAGCTATTAACAGGGAGTTCTTAATGAGCCTGTGGCTGCAGATGCCCTTCACTGCGGCAGGACTTCAGATGCAAGGACAGCAGCTAAAATAGGAACACTTCAAAACCCAAGAAAAGCTCCTCCTAAGTTAAGGGAGGTGGATTGTTGGCTAACCTGTGCGGGTCGTTTACTTCCACTGCGAACTTCTTCTCCCGGAAGTATAAATTCTCCAACTGCTTCCACTGAAATAACTGTGAAAAAGAAAAATATGGTTATTCAAAAAGGGGGCAGGGTGGTAAGAGAAACCACAGAACACACGAGTGGCTTAACAGCACAAAAAGAGGCTGTTTCATACATAAAAGGTTGTTAAACACACATCATTCTATTCATAAAGGTTCTAAGTCCCTCCACATGAGAGGCAATTGTTTACCAAAGGGACAAAAGTTGGGAAGAGGGTATAAAAGTGCCTTACTATTAATGCCTAACCCACTGCACGCTTTACAGTACCTACAATACAGCCGCTAAAGACATAAATGGGACCAAGTGGGTTAGCAAGTGAGGTGCAAGTCCAGGCCACCACAGGAGCAATTCCAATGCTGCAGCAACTGCTGGGAGCAAAACTGTGCCAGGCACAAGGCCAGATTCTCATTTCACTCGGCTCAGGAGGAGCACAGAGGCACTGCTTCTCTCTGTGCCAGAACAAAACATCTGCTCCACTCATACTCTGGTAACTCAACTGATCTGGAGCCACTTGCCAATGAGCAGTGCTCCCCTGCTCTCACTTTGGAAGAATAAGCAAAAGGCAGGCATGCAGAAATGAACTATTCCATCTATTCTATGAAGAGTGAACTATAGGATATGTGTTACTGTACTCATAACAGTAACACCACTACAGGTATTAAAGTTAAGACACAACAACGAGGAAACGGAGGCAAATTAAAGTATGAGATCTAAAAACTATTTCAATTATCTCGACAGGTAGCTGATGTACACAAGTAAAGGGCTTACCGAGAGGTTATTTTGTGCTTATCAGGTCCTTGTGGAATTCTCTTGGATTTGTATTGAAATCCTCTGGCTTTCCCACAGGGCTAGAGCTTCCTCGAACAATACTCTCTCTTGTCTGTTCTCAGAGAGCCAGATAGGTGTTGCAAGAGTTTCAGCTGAGGTGGCCACGCCCCCTCAGCCAAAGCCTCCCCCATCTGATGATGTCACAGCCTGCGCCGTCCCATCCGGCCAAATAAAGCCCTTCCTTTTCAGTCAGACCAGAAGAGCAGGTTGCACACAGGTATTTGCCAGGCCAGTTTCTTTCCTTGTTTGAGGACATTTAACCTCTGCTCTAGTTCCCATCAGTCACACTTTGAATGCTCAACATCTTATCCGGGAAGTTCTCTGCTTTTGATATTTGAAGTGCTGCACAAAGCGCTGCTGTGTAGCCAAATCCAAAACGGCTATCTCCCTTTCTACACAAACGAGCCAAAAAAAAAGTTACTATGTTCTAATCACTAAAGAACTGCAGAGGGCACAACACCCTTTATGGATTGGGGAAGCTGTTACTCCACACTCTTTAAATAGTAGCACTATTTGCATGTAGCAAAAAGAAAGCTGATTTAATGCATGGTATCACAGCATGCTGGAACAAAGAGGAGCAAGATGCACCAAGAATTTTTTTTTAATCTCATTGTGGAGATAGACTCCAAGAGACACCAATTCATGCCAGCTACTCTCTATCAGTCTGCATGATTTACATAATAACAGGTTTTAAAAGGCCTACCAATGAAAACTCCTAACCACATGGCTCATCCCGCTAAAGAAACTCCACTCCTATGAGCCAGCTAATAACGTGAAACTAATGGACTTGTGTGTCTGCTGTTGGAGCCATTTCTAAACTATGTCAGTGATGTGACACACCTCACAACCAACAGAGGACTGCGAGCTGTCCTCTTAAAGAGCAAGCAGTTTGAGAAATCCTTCTGTGACAACAGCAAGATTCTGATGTAGGAAACAGTAAACAGAGCATTTTGTCCAAACCAGAAAACGCAAAAATCAACGTGTCTTCAATGTCCTCCACATTTACATTTGCTCTTGTTTTCTCCGAGTGTCTAATTAAAGGAGGGGGGGGAAGCCTGCCAGAAACGCCTGTGGTTTCAAATGGGATCAGGCTGTTCAGATCCAGCTCACACCCACAATCCAAAGACCCCCAGGGCCGCTGGTGTGCCGAAAAAAAAAAAAAAATCATATGTGAATGAAAAGGCTGTGACTCACATGCTCGTACAGAAAATAATCTGCCACACCCTTCAAATAGCAAGTCACATACCAGCTCTGGCCGGTTGGCAGCACTGTACATTTCCACATGATGCATGATGCATCACTTACAACACTAAGGAACCGGAAGGGACTTTCTCCTGGTTTTATGTGTGAGTTTTAGGAGGAAAAAAAAGATACTGAGGAGGAGGCCTGTTCACTTTCCATTAGAAATTCTTCCACGTCTCTCACATCATGTTATCATTATACAAGGCTGACAGTGGCTCCTATGAGGAACTGAGGATTTGTTCTGGTTTAGCTGGCTCGTCATATATGTGGAGCAGCAAGTGGTCTTACAGACTGTCCCACAACATGCTGAGAGAGCCTGAGAGACACAGAGGGGGACACGGGAAGAAAAGCCTCGATTTTTTATTGACTGCCTCAGCCTCCATTTTTTCATTTCGAAATATTTAAGCATAATGGAAATGACAGGGTATTCACATCAGTAAATGCGTCACTTCTTTTAATCACAGCGGGGATGCAGCCCTTTGAGCCACGGGCTTTTCAGTGTGGGCATCAAGCTGCCACTCATGTGAAGGAGATACTCTACGGTTAAGCTATAACAACTGCTTTCCAAAGTTTAGGAAAAAAATCATCAGTGGGCAAAGCTTTGTCATTCAAGATATTTCTATTCATCACTTGATAGCTAAGTTTCATATTGGTTAAGAACTTACAGCATCCTCCACCTATACAGGGTGGTCACATTTCTTTTTTCTATTTAATGTCACAGATATTATAAGAATGTACATTTCTGCACAGTAATGTTTAAAGACTTGGTGGTCTACTGACCTCCCACTAGTACCAGTGCTAAATTCAAGCCAATACAAAACAACCACGACCCCCCACCCGCCAAATGACTATCCTTTATTGTTTGATCAATTGTGTTCCCTCCGAGACACACACAGAAATTACCATAAAGAGTGCAGCATGCTGAGAGGGGCTGGGCTGAGGGCAAGGACGGACAGCCTGGGCTGATTACAAGAGCTAAGATAGAGAGCACTGTCAACACGGAGGTCTTGTTACAAACAAAAAGACCCCAAAAACTCCTCCAATTATCAGCAGAACTAATGAAACATGTCATATAAACATCAATCCCTTACTTGGTGCATGGACAGCCACTGGTGAACTGAATAACCCTTCAAGCACCACAAAACTTTCACTGTCATCCCTAAACTTCTGATACCCAGCCCACCAGCTGGCAAGGTGCCAAACCCAGTCCCTGAGGCCTGCAGCTTCCCACGGGGAAACATAATTACACCTCCACTGAGTGAGCTGGGGAGAGGCTGGCTGTGCTGGTGCCCGTTAATGCCGTGGTATTCAGTGTAACAGCACACCCTGCAATGTCAACAGGTTGCCGCCTCACAACAACAGCCACTCTGCGTCTAATGAACCACGCAGGCCAGAAAACGCTCGGCTTGGGATAGGTTAAATCGCACTTTTTGGAGAAAAGAAATTTGTCAAACTCAAACGGCAATTTGAGGCCTGAAAGCTGCAGCATCATATGTTTTAGTTATACATGATGCAAGACAGTTCCTCTAAAATCTAAATGAGTCCTAAAAAAGTTAGAGCCTGACATCTAAGGAGACAATTACCTTCATGTGGCTAAAGTAAGGTGTCAAAAAACATTTAAACCTTTTGTTGGGGTAATTTTCATATTAAATGTTCTACATATCAACATGCACAGGACCAACAACTAATAGGCAAAAGAAGCGTTTCCAATAAACATTGTCAATGCATAACATGTTGCTTTAATGATTAGCTTTTCAAAATAAAACCAGTTAGTAAAATGAGATGTTTTTCTATCTCTGTGAGTTTCCATTCACATTTGCCAAGTATTGATCCTTACTGTATTTGCTCCTAAACTTACAGCCTTGAGGGTGCTGAGTACATAGTGACACTCCAAAGTATGTTCCCCATCTGTGTTCCTCTCTCCCCTGGCATGGGAACCAGGGTTTTAATTACACCTATTTACAGTCTGGATGGATCATTAACCGGCTAACAAGAATTGCTGCGGTAGCAGCTGTGTTTTCAACTGCAAATCAAAGTACTTCTCAGGTGCCAAATATTACATGCTTTCATCTGACACTTTTCTTATCTGAGCATTAAATGCCACTCGATAATCCATGCCAACTTTATTTATAAAGCCCGAACCCTAGACTTTGTCCCAGAAAGGCCTTATCAATGAGTTCACAGATAGCTATGAGGAAAAACTACAGGGACATTTGCAAATCATGGAGTGATAGGGTATCATGATAACAATGATAACTTCAAAGACCTTGCAGGAAAATACAAACAGTAAATAAAAAAGGTGAACCTACCGTTCTAGGTTTCAGCTTGTCCTGCAAATCGTACTGTCCGATGCCTTTATAGCTGACTCCCAGCCACCATGGGATTCCTTGCTTGTCCTGTAAGTGTGTTCACACACACACACACACAAAAACACTCATTAGTGTTAGCTTTAGAAAAAGAGGAAATAAAAAAATGGTTACTGAAGCAATTACCCCGTTAGCATCAGGGAAACATGAGAAGAGATCAAATACATTAAAGGCCTTAAAAAAATTCCTACAAGCCTGACAGAGACATTTTAACACCGCTGTTTGATGTTTGCAGACACCTTGGCTTAATTAGCCCTGGTAGGACAGAGTCAGATGAGTGTAAAAAAAAGAGAAACGTTCAACGAATGAGACGCTGCAGAGATTTTTAAAAAGGAAAGCGTGTCGAGCAGAATAAATGAGAGGGTTTAGATTGTTGACATATGCTTGTTAAAAGGTTAAGCTACTGTATGACTCAGGGTGCTGCAGTTACCTTCACTGGGTAATAATGAACTCCATATGTGGGCAGGGATTCCACCAGGGCCAGATACCTGCGGCGACAGAGGAACAGGTTACCACCAGATCAGCCACTTTCACTTCATCAGTGTCAGCTGGCGGCTGCTCTACGCCGCACAGAGCGGGATTTAAGCTGCTGTCGTTGAGAGGCCACAGTCATTTGCCGCGGCGGACGGATCGATTTGTTTCAGGCCACTGACAGAGTCTATTGATCAGCTCAAGGGCACGAATCATCTGGTCCTGGGAAAAAACACCCCACAGAAGCTGGCGGGCTGCCTACAGGAGGAGCACCTCTTCTAATTAATGACACATTCTGGCAGGGTGACAGCCACCTCTAATACCAACAGACACCACAGTCTGAGGCCAAGGAGGAAGGCCTGGAGTAGATTCTGAACTTTACGAGTGGAGGCAGAAAGAAAAGCATCTTTATGGGTTTTTTTCTATTTTACAAATACACTTGATGACCCACCGCACAATTGCTTGTCCTCTGGTCAGTCCCTTGAGTTTCTTGTAATGTTCAATCACTCTGTCCTCACTGTGGGTGGAAGAATAAAACATTTAATGAATAACCCCTCAAGTGTAACACACTGTGGCTGCTGGGGGATTGCTGTGAGAGGGCCCTTTCTTTCAGCACATTCTGTCTGCTCATGCAGAAAATGCAGCCTGGCCCACTGGCACGCTGGCGGCTTTCATCTACGCACCAACACTCCAAATGGATCCATTTACTTCCCACTGTAATCATTTCTTAATAGCACTGTGACACCGGCAGCCCACTGCAGTCTAGCAGTCGTAAAGGCAGACGCAGACGTGTGGTGATGTAGTCACCCCTGTGCCATAAGGCTGTCATTTTTATAAGATGTAAAAGTGATTTATAGTCATTAGCAGCCTCAGATGGCCGAGAGAAGAGCCGAGGAGTGCCGTGCTGCAGTGGTGTGGATTGAAGAAAGGCAGCGTTACTGCGGACAATTAGCACCTCTGGGTGTTTCATCAGGGCTAATGAGGAAATGTAATTAACACCGTCCAGTCACTAGTTGGCCAAACTAAAGGAAGCAAAACCACCCCCTTGTAACAGCTCATCTTTCCATGTCTTTGTCATCCGTACACTTGATGGAGTTGACAGCAACTCGTCGTATAACATCATCTGATGGCAAGTCAGTAAAAGACAGGCTGTCAGACTTCTTGGAAAGCCTTTGTGCTAGGCTTCACTTTGAGATTGACAAAGATTTAAAAGATGGTACATGATTATGCTTCTTGTGTGTGTGGTCTTGTGTTGGGATTAGAGTGATGGAGTTTTGAATCTCTGCTGGATGCCCTGGGCAGCCATGCAGAGCAACATGTGCACTCATCAGTGGAGGAAAAGGTGACAAATTAAACATGTGGTGAATAAGTGGATGGTGAAAAACGTATCCCTGATAAAAATGAAAAAAAAAATGTAACCACGATAACCCTTTTTGAGATTTGACTTATTAGAAATACTAAAAATGTATTATTTCATGTTCCTCTTTGTACCCCCACCTCCCCACAGACAATTAAACACATAATATACTGACTACTTACAAGTACCTTACTTTACACTGCTTGAGAAGAGCCTAAATATGAAAACAATATATTTTATCAAAGGTTATCAGGGTCTTTTATCAAAGACCCTGTCAGTGGTGACAAGTGCTGACTGATACAGTTCCAGAGTTAGGTGATTATCTCATTGACTATAATTTCAAATACTATAGAAGAATGATTTCTTCTATAAAACTACTTGGGGAAAAAACACCCACCTTTCACTGTTTGTTTTTATGTATCAGCACATTTCAAATATCTTACCAGTAATTGAGAGATGGATGTTCTTTTAGCACGCTGGTGGGCAGGACTGGAAGCTGCTTTAGGTCTGATGTGGCACTTTCAACACTGTAAGAAAGAGAGAAAACACACACACAGACATTTTTTAACAACAACGGAACCCGTCCATTCACAATCTCTGTGTGTTATCCAGATCTGTTTTGACTGGAAACAGTGATTTATTTTGCCCTAGAGGCTGAAAGACTCACACTAAGGTACAACCAAAGCTGATTGTGATCTGCAGGAACGAATAATGTTCAAAGTGCTCCTCCTATACACGAGGATCGCAGTAACAGATCTATAATGTGCTGTTATGATCTCAAAATAAGCGCTCTATACCCACATGTGAACAGCAAAGGTAAATGTTTACACAAGAATCTCGAGCCAAAGTCTAAAAATGTGTAGACAATATTTCTCCACATGTCAGACCTTTCAAAGCACTCTGAATTTCCATCTAAAGGCATGAGAGCAATGATTCATATTTGCAAACCTTTTTAGAAAAGGTGCGACGCCAGGGTATTGTTTGAATCTTGTTTTATATTCAGTATAAAGACTAGCACTGCCTGCCAAGACCAAACCTGGCTTTTATTCATGTCCTGCCAGATCTCATTTACAAAGGCGCATGCAGAGCCTTTAAGTTATCGGGAGTCGTTTCTAGGAGAAAAGTATTCTGAAAGCTGCCTCATGCTGGTTCTAAACAACAATGCACCATCATGTGAAGAAAGAAAGTACACCACGTTTTATGTGAAGGAGCATCATAAAAAAAATGTCCATCTGGTCCAGGTTCACCAGGTCTTGCAAAGTAAGTACAAAATCACACAACGTGTTTAAACTTATATTGAGCCAAAACTAAACCAAATACAGAAGCAGTGTGTGAAAAGTTAAGTGCATTACATGAAAAAGCCTGTAGAACCGCTTTCAGCTGCCGTCACTGGAGGCAAAAAGTTTCTGTGTGTCGTTATCAGCCTTTCAGTCTATGTGAAGGATAACACACTCGTTCCAAAAGTTATACTTTCAATTGGGTTTCCTTTCTGCTCAGCTTCCCCACAGCATGTCAGCATGGCGGAGGTCTGGTCCACTGGACCATCAGAGCACCTTGATTGTTTTCTCTTTCAAATATTCCTTTGTTTGAATTGTTGCTGCGTTTCGGGTCATCGTCCTATTGTGTGGTCGAATTTAAGCCAGGCCTGAGCTGCCTTACAGTCAACTTTCGAACACTTCGGAAGAGTTCAGTGTGGCCTCAATGCCTTCAAAGTGGCGGTGAAACAAACCGATATAATCAGCATTCCACCACAGCGCTTTACGGTTGGTGTGAGGTGTTTGTGCCCACATGCTGTTTTTGGTTTTCCCCCCACATGATGCTGTTCACTATGACCAAACATCTCCACTTTGGACTTGCAGTTGGTTCAGGTACAACCCCGACTTCAGCTGCCAGGTTCTCTTTTACAAATGTGAGCCTTTGTTCTGCATTACCACCAAACAAGTGATATTTGTTCGTTCTTTTTCTATTAGTCATGAATTTTCACAATAAACATGATAATTGAGGCCTGTACAGTGTGAGATGTAGCTTTGTTTTTTTTTTTACTTTTTATCATCAGATATTGCAGTCTGACCCTGCGGTGAACTTGTGCCCGTCCACTGAGAGGAAAGCTGACGCTGCCTTGAATATTTTGGACTTGAGAATAATCTCCCTGATTGAAGAATGGTGGAACATAAAATCTGCTTTTACAGAGAAGCTCCCACCTTCACAGTGAAACCAAAGATCCCACGGGATAAAACAACAAATACAGCTGCTAAAGAAGCCATAGGAAAAACACCATCGTCCGTGTGGCGTTAGTGGCTGTCAACTACGGGCCGATCCCATTTTCCTGGATTTACAGTCTGTCTCACAGATAGGGTTGTCAAAAGTATCGATACTCAAAAAAGTATCGATACTAAAATGTTGTATCCGGATACGATACTCATTTTCAAAAGTATCGATACCACCGCGCGAGCCCGTGCGAGTCCGCGCGAGCAAGCGCGCGCGCGACGCTGACCTGCCCTCGCTGCTCCCCTTCTCTCTGATTTATTTACGTTGTTTATGATCATTAACAAGTTGTTAGCCTTGAACTGCTAGCTTCGGTTAATGGCTAATAATAACGTGCTACCATTAATCAAGTACGTATCCGACTCCGCCTTCATCGAAGTCGGCCATTATAGTTACATTAACAATAGGAAGATCCCAGGCAAGAAAATCCTAATTGCCACATGGCAATATAGAGATTCATTTAAAAATTGTGAAATTAATCCTTCAAACACTTAATTAAACTCTATGCATATTATTATGTTAAAATAGTGTATGTTAAATAGGTTTGTACAATAAGTCCAAACAAATTTAACCCAAAAATATTTATTTCTCACAATTATGAAGAGTGGAGGGTTAGGGTCAGGGTTAGGGTTATTAATGCAGGCCACCAGTCACAATTACATCAGTAACAGGTCAGTTTGAAATGAAAGACACTAACCTGTCAAAATTCATTTAAATTTTGGGGTCTTTTTTTAATCCTTGTGGTATCGAAAATGGTATCGAGTATCGAGTATTTTCCTGAGTATCGGTATCGAGTTGAAAATTTTAGTATCGTGACAACCCTACTCACAGACATGGCTCTGGCTTCACTTCACTGATGATCTGAACAAAAGCCATTCAAAAACACTTGGCAGCTTGCGCCTGTGTTGAAAAGTATTGGACGGGCCACTGTTGTTTAAAAAAAAAAAAACCCTTGGCCACCCAGACTGGCTTTAACAGGCAGGTCAGATTATATGAAATATAAAGCGATTAAACACCCTCTGCTAAGCCTATAACAACTACCTCAATATAACAAAGTAAGACTGCTGGAGGACTTTAAGCCAATAGCCGTTTGACCTTAAGTGGACTTATGGCCATCAATTTAACCCCTCTTATTGAAAAGGCAATGAAATTTAACATCCTTTGATACTGCACAACGGAACCCTAATGATCCAGTTATGTGAACCAGCTTACTAAACAAAAAACAAGAGCGGGCTTCTTGCAAGGGCAGAGAGGCCTTTGAATCACTCTTCAGCTCTCCGTGCTTGACTGGGTTTTGCTGCCACGGCACTTGGCTGCATGCTTGATGGCATACATTTTATGGGGAGCCGGGCCCCGGCGTTGTTGGGGTGATCTAGTCTGCGGCCGCGCTGCCGTGTCAGCAATCTGGAATTCATTACGACGTCTCTTATCTTCCTACGGCGTGGGGGCCATTCCTGAAGCCAGCCCAGCCCGGCCCGGCGCAGCCTACCCCGTGTGGGAGAGATAATGCTCATGTGTCAGCTATTTCACAGGGACCAGACTTGGTGACTTCGGAGGGATGCACAATGAGAGAGCTGCTCGCTGGGAACCGACCACTAACTACAGGCTGCACCTGCAAATAGAACTGCGGACAAAAACTGCGTGTAATTCTGTTCATGAGCGGTACTTTTTGAACATAACTCAAACTGGAGCTAATTTAAAATCACCAGCAGTTAATATACCCCAGGATGCACAAGTGTCTGAAGCTTGTGCTTGGGAGGTGATTCCAATTATATGAGAGGAAAAAAATAAATCCCCCAGCAGCTCTCAAGGCATAATTAAAGACATAAATCAATTAAGTAATTACCCACAACCTCCACAATGCAGACAGACTCTCAGAGAACAACTGGAACTTGTTGTATTTGGTCACAACTGGAGGAGGGTTGTAAAGTGTAAAGAAGTGCTCCTGTGTAAAATACAACACAAGTACAATAAAAGGAACATAAGTACAATAAGAAACCTGAATGCGCATTAATTCAATGCACAGCAGGGGGTCGGCCCACACCACCACCACAGTGTGTCCCCCTGACGCCAAGTTGTCTGCAATTGGACAGTGGGTCTCGCTCATCCCTCTTAAGGCGGCTGGCTGGAGGAGGAAAGCTCTCTGACTCCTTTGCAACTAATCTTCCTGCTCTAGGACCCCTTTGCTGATACAGGGAGGAGGAGGCCCATTTATATTATGTGCCTGGTGAGGGGATTTCCTATGCCTGTCCTCTCTGAGAAAAAGAAATAAAGGAGACAACTGACAGGGGAGAGAAATACTGCCACGGGATAGTGAAGGATGAGCTAGTTTAGGAGCGACATTTGATATTAGGATGTACATCTGATGTGCTCAAGTGACAAAAGTCTTTATTTTGCTATTTTCTATAGCTTTCATGCCAAAGAACCAAACAGACTACAGCCTTGTAATCGATGCCAGGTAAAACTGAACAAGTGTAAATCCAAGTTTACACATAAAAAGCCATAATCTGACAGAGAAGGATGGTCTGTATGCAAGGGGGAAAAAAGAACAAAAGCTCCCATCTTAGCTGATTCCAAAAGATCTGTTGGCCAGTTGTCATTTATTGTGCTTTCAGAAGCAGGACAAAGTACAGCCAAGCCCCACACCCATATGAAGTGAAAGTTCACCCTGCACCCATCGCTTCAAGAGAAAAGTGATTTCAAACCGAAACAATGAAGCTGCGCTGAAACTGTAATAAATAGCTATTAGTACTATTAGTAAATTGTATTGCAACTAAGCACACCGTGCTTGTGAATGAATAGCGTAAAAAGCTTAAGAGGAGCTGCACTTAGTTGTGTTATTTTGTTTTTCTTTCTTTCTCGCTGGAAAACAAAAGGCCGCGGTGTGACACGATGAAGTCAAACTGCTTTTTCAGCATTGCACACATCACCATTCAAGCTTGCCGTGCGCTACTCCTTACAGTGCACAAATCTTTGTATTTGCATAATGGACAGCGAGGCCTTTGGAGGTACAGAGAACCACACGGGTTGGACTGCCTCAGACTGTCCAGTCACTCTATCAGACACCGAGCCGTGTTTACTAATGACAGCTGACACCCTTTACTCCTCAAAGCCCGAGGCAAACGGTGAAAACAGCGTTACAACGACGTCATCGCATCATTTTGTTTGTTCATGTGTTCAAACAGCTGCAAGCGTAGGGGTATGTGACATTTAATTAAAGATGATGCAATGTTATATGTCAGAAACAGCCGCCTGTGTTCTTGGTGTTTATAGTATAAACACGGCTTTAGTGGAACAAGCAACAGGAGTATCCTGGACTTTGGAAGCATTCTGTAGGCCATGTGGATGGCAACCAGCCAGCAGGGGTTCAGTTCAATGTCAAGAGCAAAATCCAAGCAATTATTAACAGGAGGAAGCTTCAACAGAAAAATCTAATCCAAGCAAGTTAAGTTGTACATTAACACATTATTTAGGACACCTAACTCTGCTTCTTTATAGAGCACCGCAAGAGGAGCAATAAGGATATTATTTCTGCCAACCTTCATAAATAAATGATATATATATAAATATATATATGTCTCTGAGGTTATTATTTAGAAAAGTGGTCACTTCTTACCTGGTATAATCTCCTTTAGCCTCCTAAAGACAATGAGAAAATCATGTGGTTAGCAAAGCCGTTATAGTGGAAACCAGCATTTTCTTTATTGACATATATGCTAATATCTGCTATCTGCTAAAAGAAAAAGTTTCTATTCTATATTATCAAATTTCACCAGGACCCTAAGGCAAAGACTACTTCGTGGTCTCTTTCGTTTCAAAGAGAGCAATTTGAATATAAAAAGGTTACGTTTCTTTGAGCCCCCCCCCTCCGACCCTAAAGACACAAATGTTAATGTTGCCTGCCCCGACCGTCCGCCCTCATTCACATGTTTGGGTGAGTGACAACGGTCCTCTAAGGAAAAAGGCTTTCTTTCTTACCTGCAATGCGAATGCTGCTAACTTGAAAACATGTTTGCTCTCCACTTCGATGGTCTCCTGGAGGAAGGAGCAGAATTGCGTTGGTTTAAAAGTACTTAAAGACAGCGACGTGCGCTCCGCTGTGACCACTTGACTCGATTGAAAGCCCTCCCGTCCCGCACTTCTAGCCCGTACCTCGGTCCCACCGTTACCGCCTGAACCATTGTTGCAGAGTCAAAACGTTTTTTTTAAATGGACACAGCGTAGGACTCCATACAATGTATCAGCACCAATTTATACTAAAACTTACAATACAAAGTAAAGCTCGCAAAGGTAAATATAAAGTCAATCTAAAGATCTTATTTGAAGTTAGAACCCCTTGGTAAAGTGGTACGGTCCGAACGCAGGTTCAACAGTCTCCGTCTCCCATGGTGACCAGTCTGCTCTCCCCGCGAAAGAATAAAAATGCACTGCCTGCAACGTCTGATCCTGTGCTGCCTTCAAGTGCCCCTTTAGCAGTTGTACTTCCCTGTATCCTCTTAGCACCAACTAAGGAGCGTGCCTACTCCTACAGAAACCAACTTTAGAGTGCAATATTATTTTCAGCCACACTCGGAAGTTTATGCATGCATATATATATTTAATAGAACATTATTACCAGTGTCAGGCTCTCCATCCGCTTATTTGACAGGATACATGTATTTTCCTAAAGTCACTAAAGGTAGCATTCTACTACTGGATAAAACCTGCGTATTACCTAGTAAGGATCTCAGTAAGATTGAGGTTTAAACGGGAGTAGCTCAGACCTTTAAAACGTCAACAACAATGTAATGCATGCTTTCCAATTTTGCAGAAAGAAACAAAGTAAATAAATCCTAGATAAAATGCTTTAAGTGCAGATAACAGTCCTTAAAGTTGGCCCTTCCTCAATCAAAACAACTCACTTTGCCATTAAAAATTACATTTGATCAACAGCTGGGTGAAGTATCCTCAAATAAAACATATGCCATTTATATCCCATAACATTGAACAATACATAAGATATTGAAATACTGTTGAAAATTACTTACATTAAATACTAAAGATTTCGCATTTAGGAAGAACAGCTCCACTGTTGTATTGTCTTTCAAGAATGTGATCCTCTCAATATAAAACCTGTGAAAAGTTCATTTTAGGTCAACAAGGTAAGCACGAAACAAGATATGGTATATTTCACACAGCCACCATTGTCTAAAATCCACACATAGCACATTTTTTAGCAGCTAAACTTTAACTATACTCCTTCACTGCCACCTGCTGGTTAGGGTCAAGCCTAAAGGGAGGCAAAGCCCTCAAGTTCTTTATTAACTGACAGCAGTTAATACTGTATTACAGATATTTTCAGTGGCGAATATGCACATTTTTTCTCCACTCAATATATTTAAATGTGGAAACATTAGAAAAGCGTCTCACTTGGGTGCACTCACCTCACAAGAAACTTGAGTTCCAAAGGCCCAGAAGTCTTGGAGAAGTCATGATCAAGGACTTTACGATCCAGATGGAGCCAGTTATTCTGGCCACTAAGCAGGGATAACAGAGTTTGAATGCCATGTTAGCAATACATACTTATACTTTCTGTTATATCTTTTTTACTTTTCCCTCCCAGTGTTTTTGTCATTAGTGAAACTTTCCAGAAAAAGTCATTTAACATTGCGAGAATATTTTTAAGTCATGAAAGGTACTTACGTATCATCTATGAAGCACAATCCAAAATATTCTTTCTCCTTCAGGTTAAAATGGGATGCCACCAAATCTAACAGCTCACGGGACAGTAGCTTAGGCTGGAGGGGTTGAGCAAAAAGGAAACAAAATAAATTTACATGCAAGCTGAAACGTAACACTGAAAAACACAATCGCACAACTATGTATAGAGGGAAAAGAAAGAGCAGGTGTCAGACTTCCATCCTGGCACAAACACATCTCACTGAAAAATTTAATGAAACGGACAGGCTACCTGAACCAACAGCTCCAGCTTCCTGTCATCGAGGAGGTGAACCTGGCACAGACGGCCCTCTGTCATCTGTGAAAAAAAGAAAATATTACATATGATTTTAGACTCAATTGAACCACTCAAGCATCCATCTGCATGTCTGAGCTGAACTCAAAACTGCCCCACCACAGTTGAACTCCAAATTCAAAATATCTCCCTCTTTTGAGGGAGCTGAAAACAGTGACTCACCTCAGTGTCACGATTTTCTTTATGCCGGACAAATAGGTAAAAGGAGTCACTGAATAAACCCAAAATATCCAGTTATTTCAAGATTACGCTCCAAAGTGATAAAAATAAAAGCAATTTAAAATGCTGCACCATTGACATGCCAGCCTGAAATCAGTTCTTGTCTGAAACTCAAACAAAGGATTTAATATCCTTCCACAATTGGAATCCGCTATATTGCCCTATCCGCCCACACATCCATCCGCTGCATCAACAGCAGTCTAATGAAAATCCCTGAAAAGCCATCATCACAGTTTTTTTTCCCTCGAGCCAAGAAATAAATATAAAGGAAAATATAGTCTTATTCGAAAACTGAACTAATTCAATACTATTATTTATATGAGGAATATTTTTAAGATCTCTTCTGCAATATTTTTTAGAATCTTATGTATTCCTTTATGTATCCCAACACGTGTTAAAAATACATTGCACTTATATGTTACTAAATTTAGTTCCCGATGTGTATACAATTTATATCAAGATTTGGACTTGTGTGTGTGTAAGAGTTGATCCCTGCAGCATTAAAAAACTTTACCTTTTTTATCAAGAGCTGTCAATTTTGTCAATTTGTTTCCAAGCCAAAGCATGATCAGAGGGTTCAAATCCCTTACTCTTACGGTATTACATATGATATTATGTAAAACTACTATTGGAAACCTACATTTTAAAAATCTAAAAGACCTGAAGATCTCAGAAACAGCAAAACACACTCTGTTGTAGAGACTGCTTTCCCCTCTCAGAATCCTGTAAACCTACATAGTTTTTCCAGTAGTCACAGCAGTAGGCGTGCTTTATTTCCGTTTGGCTGCTCTGACACTATTAACCCAAGGCCGCCAACTGCCTCTGACTGTGACTTCAGTAAAAAAAAAAACATGTGGCATCAAACGGGTGGAAAAGCTAGGGTTGTGTTGACGTCCAGCTAGTGGCACGCCAGGCGCCCCGGCATGGTGTTAAACTTTAGGGATCCTGGTACACGTTGTCCCTCAGCGCCACAACAGAGCTGTCGTTTCACTCCGACACACCGCAAGCCACTTTTATAGTGTTGTTTTTTCACTGCCCGAAACCTCAATGAGATTTACGCTTCTGCGGGCTGAATTCGGCTGGAGGACGCCATTCGCAGTCACGCTAGCTTAATTCGATGCCAAATTCTGCTCTAGATTCTCAAATCTCCACTTTATACCCGCTCCCTGTATGTCCACGTGCAATGTGAGCCGTGAATCTGGGTAACTTTTCTAGTTTTGATCGAAGTAGATGGCGCAAGACTCTTTGTTATTGTCAATATTTGAAGAAATTATCGTGTGTAACAGTGAAGATGCATTTTAAACTGGGTTTAAAATCACTAGCAGCTGTTTTATAGTTGTTGTGTCTGTTCAGACCACAATTCCCCTCAAGGGCCTATCCATCAATGCTGCATTGTAGCGAGCCGGCAGCATCAAAACAGCAGTCTGCTTTCAAGTCAGCAGCCACTGCATCTCACAGTCAACTCTCACATTCAACATCTGAAATTGCATCAGTCACTCTTCTCAGTACGTAAAAATCAAACAAAAGAAACCTCACTATAAGTCTTAAAAGCGGTTTCCATAAAGTGTTTCTTCCTTGTAATGTTAAAACAACATTGCAAAGCACCGTCAATTAATTTTTTTCATGCTCGCTGCCCACTGACCAGCAGATTCGAGGGGTCTCTGGGTCTCTCCAAAACAGGGTCGTCCAACATAAAAAAAGAAGGGTCGTGACTGTGTCATTGAGGTCATCACCCCGAAGCTCGGCAATTATGAGCACGAAACCCTGATGGGGCTCGCTTAACACAAAGATCAGCTGCTGACCTGCCCACCCTGCAGCTTTGACTAGCTCAGCAACCCCCGTTTAGCACAAAAAGTCTAGGAAACCACAAGCCTATTGGTAATTAACTAATAGGATGAGTGGCTACAAAATGGGGGCTGATAAAGACTCCATTCAGAGACACTTTATCTGATTATGAGATTTGTACCTCTGTTATTTCTGGAAAACATAGAGACGCGGCAGTTTGTGTAGATTTATAACTGTTTTTAAAGATGTCCAAACGGAAAACCTGACTAGGTGTGACACGTTGGAAAACCTGTCCGTTTTCCGGCCGCCCACAGTAGGACCTGTTGACTGCACAGAGAGCGTTCAGGTGTATTTCAAAGATAACTCGGAAAGTTTTTTCCTCTTCAGACAGACGGAGGAGATCAAACGGCTGGTCATGCTGCTTTTGAAATGACTGCCACATGTGCGAGGAGAGGGACCCTTGTTAAACAAAAAAAAAAAAAGACTTTGTGACTCACCAAGAGGGAGCTTGTGCCTCCTCCTCACCCAGACGATAAATAAACATATAAGCAAACACTAATGAGGCCAGATGAGAAGAAAGCGCTGGCTCAGAGGAAAGTTGAAATTCAGCAGGTAATCCCAACAGAAAACCGCGAAAAACATGCTGGGTTAACAGCTGGGCTTCCTTTTCCTTCCTCCAGAGCTGGCCCGTGCTCGCCGTCGCTCTGTAAGCCCACCTACCTGGTAGCACTTCCCGATCCTGAACCAGGCCTCCAGGACGCGCCTGCACGGCATCAGGCCCCGACTGTACCACCTCCTGAGGGTCTGGTGGGCCACGCTCCAGAGGAGCTGACTGCCCGACGCCACCAGGTCCTCCATCCCGCGTATGACGCGCACGGCCATGGCTGGGTACCGTTCCTCCCCCCTACCCAGTCGGTCAACGTCTACCTTTGACCGATGAGCTGAACTGTGTGTTGCAAACAAGCGGGAAGCAGCATCCACACTGGTCCACTGTGTCTCATAAGGCTGATGTAATGTCAGCGAGAGAGTCGGCGCGCTCTGGAGGGGAGGCTGGAGCAGAGCGGTGCGCGCCTCAGGCTCGGTTCCTGGGCCCCAGTCCAAAAAAACACTGCCTCAGAGAGCTGGAGGGGGGGGGGGGGGCAGGACGGAGCCACCAGAGGCTCCGTCTCCCCCGTTCCACATAAACACACTCGTACACAAACACAGCCAGCATGGAAACAAAACATCTGAGGTCCAGAATGAGCGGGTCTCCATTTTTAAGTGTTAAAATGTTTATTTCAATATGTATTTAACTTTCATTATGTAAAAAAAAAAAGCCTGTGGGAACGGGTTTTTGGGATGTGGGAGCAATTTCCTGAGGAGACCAGACATTCCCACCCACTGTATTCTGTCGGAGCACTAAAAATAATTGGTTTTGTTCAGACCAGGAGGGGTCAAAACGTAGAGAGAAAGTCTTAAGACGAGAGCTCCGAAGCGCCCCCCCCACCTCACGTGTTAGTTAGACGAAACACCTGACTCAGACACAACCGGAGGAACGCTGAGAAAAACAAAAAGAAGAAGTGGAGGAGCGCTCAGTGTTTAGGCTCATCTGGTAACAATATCAGGCGGTTTGTTTATGCGTCCCCCGGTTTCAAAGAGTGCTCAAATGTCCAGTCAACATGAGGCCTTTTCACTGAGCATTAACTGTTGGTAGGGCTTGGATTTTCCTTTGTAAAAAGTCTCCAATACATGACGTTTAAACAATTCTGAAAAAACATGGCAGAAAGAATGAGAGAGTGATTTACACTCGGTCCAAACTCAGCACCATAACTTCTAGAGGATTTTCTCCTTATGACTCTTTCAAGCATAAATCAATCCTGATCTTTACATGTTAGATTTACAGAACTGACTGATTAGTGATTAATAAGTCTATTGGAGATTAGGTTTATCTTGACATTTGTCCCATTTGTTTATGCACAGCTCTCTTCAGATCCCAACACAAAATTGCAGTCGAATCGAGGTCTGTACTTCGGACGAATCTTTGTGTCGGGCCTCAAATATTTGAAATACCTTGTTTTTTTTGTTTTTTTTTGTTTCTCTTGTAGATTTGCTGCAGTACTTTAGATGTTTTTTTCATTTCACAACTTCCACATATGATAACCATGTGTGACACAAAGGGCAGAGAGCTCTTGCCTGTGTGTCATTATTAAAGGCAGATCTATGAGATTTCGTCCAAAGAGAATAACTTTCCACTTATTTCTGCTGTTTCAGTAGGGCTATGATATAAGGACTGTGGACACCTATGATGACAGAAAGCCCACCAGGGGTTGGATACCAATTTTTCATTGTCTGAAGTCAGCGTCAGTTCTTATTTTAAACTCCTTGACTGAATTTTTGTCAGATTACAGGAGGGCAGTAGAAAAGCTCATCTGATAATGTTACCACTAAAGACTGAGCTCTCCTAAATTCAGAGGTCACCTAAACAGTCCATCTTCTTTCAGTTTTTCTGCCTACATATTTGTCAAAGAGAACATGGACGGGACACAAGCTGAAAGAGGTTGAGGACCCCATTCCATACATCCTTGTTGTAGTCTGCCAACTTTGCTGTTTTCTGTCCACTTTCAATAAAGGCAGCTAGGGTCAACAGAACCTTTGAAATAATCACTTATATAGTGTATTTTCACACAACAAATTAGAGCAAATATATTCTCAAATTTGATGTAAGAGAGTCAAATTAAAAGACGCCTCAAATATGTTTATGCTTATGTGCCTTTCCTTCTCATAGACATAGAATCCCTGACAGCTCAGCTTAAGATAACTGGTAATATTTTCTTCTCGCTTTTTATCTTCTTATTACTCATCTTGGCTGTGCACCTTACTCTTCAAGCCGCCTCCCATCCTCCACCTCTCTCCGTCTCCAGCCTGGCACAGTGGCCCTCAGCACCATGATCTCACGCTGTGGTCACCCACTCTGATTTCACTCTAGTGTCACAAGGCATCGCTCACTTAACGGGCTCATTCTTCTAAAAGCTATTGTTACAGTTCCCGCCCTCAGGCCCCCTTTACACAATCAGCTGTTGTGGAGACGAGGAGCCGGGTTGAATATTTTCAGCGTTCACGCTGCACTGCTCCCACGCGTCCAGCAGATGGGGAAATTGAGTATCTGGTAGCCCCCTTGGGGGAGACAAAGGGGGGGACTACCCCGAGAGCTGAAAATAGCATGGTAAATTATTCTGTCTGGAGGGTTTTCCCATTATCCTTACGCCAAAGTCCTTCTCTATTCTCTTATTAATAGGGCTTTGTGTCACATGTGATGCTGAAATTCAAATTTTAATAAGAGCGCTGACTGGCAGACTGTTACAGTCTGGCTCTGTTCCGTCCCAGACGTGTCTTGTTAATAGGCCCGGCTCTATTGAGAATTCAAGGCAGAGCGTGATGGGTGATCATCACAGTTTCACCTCCGCGGGCTCATTTTTAGCCCGGGATGGCAATTACCTCGTACAGTAAGTGGTTGATTAATAGTCTGAACGTGGGGGAAAGCTTCTCAGTGAATGTAGCAGTCAGAGAGCAGGAGGTTTGAGTGCGCGCGTGTGTGTGTGTGTGTGTGTGTGTGTGTGTGTGTGTGTGTGTGTGTGTGTGTGCGTGTGCGTTTGT